TCATGTGCAATATCGGACAACTAAAGCTTAAAATTTAATTTGTAGACCCTTTTTTCGTTAAAATATAAGGGTATAAACATAGATTGTCACATAATTATTTATAGTAACGCATACACTCGTAGTCCCGCACTAGGGAGACCCTGTATCACGCGTGCCATGGACACACATAATTATGCCTTACTTTCTCAAGCTCGTATTTTAAAGAGTGATAATTCAGGAGATGGCAAAATTTACTACTTATTTTAAATTTCTTATCAATTTGAATGCATTACTTTAAGAATAGATAAAAGCCAGGGTGTAAATATGAAGGAAATGAGACGTGAAATAAGCCTGCAAAACGTGTATATACAGTCCATTTTTTTGCATTTATGTAACTTTGTGCTTTAAGATAAGAGTTTGAGAAAGTAAGGGGACGATATGAACAAACCACATATTACAATGAAACTCAGGAGAAAAAATGTAGGTAGGTCATATAAATATTCCTCCCGGATATGGGATCTCTGCGTGGCCCAGCACGTTAACCGTTCGTCCACGGCGGCCATTATTTCTAGTATACTCCGTCCAACCATTTATTTAACTTTTGACATATGCATGCCTCTGAAGTTCCGTAATTATTGAAATACAACCATCATTGACTTACAAATAAATGGACGACGGGTCTAATACAAAAACCACGAAAAAAATGTCCCAAGTCAATCTATTCGAAATTTAAATTGTAATGTCATCGCAGTATCGCGCTATCAGTAGAACAAATGAAGACTAAAGCGGAGTTTGGCGCTCTGTATACGATTTTAGCGCCTTACAAGTGCGGACACTTTTTAGCGCGGACCCGACGTCCATATAATTGTAAGTCAATGACAACCATAGACAAAAAATGCAATACTTCCTGGACTCTTTTATTTTTTCATTTTAGTGCAGCGACGTTCTCTTTAACTCCGATATATAACGAGTCAACAGATTATGTAATGAAGATTACTCGAGTTGATACATTTTGGTACCTGTCTAATAAATTATAATGTAATGAAATAAATATAAATAATTATGTGTAATTCTTATTGTTTATTATAATGAATCGTCGGATTCTTTTCCATATGAACGGGAATCATCATCCTCATTAATATTAATTATTAATTCTCGAGTACACAAATTGTCAAATGCAACATCACGATTCCAATTCATTGACTTACAATTATATGGACGTCGGGTCCGCGCTAAAAAGTGTCCGCACTTGTAAGGCGCTAAAATCGTATACAGAGCGCGACACTCCGCTTTAGTCTTCATTTGTTCTACTGACAGCGCGATACTGCGATGACATTACAATTTAAATTTCGAATAGGTTGACTTGGGACATTTTTTTCGTGGTTTTTGTATTAGATCCGTCGTCCATTTATTTGTAAGTCAATGTTCCAATTAGACAATATCTTCTTTTTTAAACCCGCTCACATTCACCATTAAAACTTCTTCATAAACAAAATCATTATTATAAAAAATCGAATCAGAAACGCATTAGAACATCACTAATTGATTAGACGAATTCTAATGCTTTCAAAAGTTAAATAAATAGTTGGACGGAGTATAATTCTGTATTTTGTGCCTATCCATAAGTTCACATTAATGGATGTTATGACGTGTACGAATTTAGCCGATGAAATGCTTTATGTGTAGTTGCTACCCACTGCTTGTCCATAGAGAAGTATAAATAACTAGGGACTAACAAAATTCAAAAACAAAACAATACAAGCACTACGGCACAAAGTAGTGACATTATTGTGTGCGTTCCAATTAAGTACTACCCACGGACGGGTTAAGATAGCTTATCCATTATAACCGACTTCAAAAAAGAAGGAGGTTCTCAATTAGGCGATTATCACACTACACCACGCCCCGCGACTGAGCGTGGAGCAGCGTTTTTTAACGTTGTACTGAAGTACCAGTAAGTAAGTAGTTTGTATGGAAAACACGCGCCGTCGAACACACTGACAACGCTTCTCCACCTACGCAGATTTTTAAGCTTAAGGACATGTTCAGTTTTCCACAATATATCTCGACGTCGATAAATTTATATTTGCTATTGAAAATCGACCAAATTTATCTTCACATTTTCCTAAATCTTTGTAATGAAGTTGAAATTATCCATTTATCAATACGGTTCGTAAAAAGGGATGTATCCAATATCTTCGGTGCCTTTTTTAACAAAAACCAAATAGTGTAACTGCAGCGTCCTGAATGAGTTCTGTATTATTAACCATTCTTGTCAAAGAAGGATCTCCGCTACATACACAATCACTACGGCGATCAACTGTGAAGCGAGTACTTTAAGTAACGCGGGGCCGCTAGACCGCTCCCTCCGCGCAGGTAAAACCGCGCGTTGACGCAGGTCTGCGTCACGTCTCCGCAACCGCGCGCGTGATTCCGCATCTCGCGCTCCATCGCGGGACACGGTGCAGTGTGATAATCGCCTTAGATTATATTCTTTCTTTATTCTGTTTTTTTTTTATGTTTGTTACGCAATAACTCCGCAACTCTCGCATTTGTCAACCAATCCTAATGATTCCTTTTGTGTTGGTATAAGAGTTGTCCTATTTAAAACCTCAGTAGTTGTCCTATTTAAATTTGAAGAAAATGTTCCACTTCCAAGGGAGGCAAACTAGGGGACGAATGACTTTTGAGGTTGGTTTTTAGTACTGAGATTATTATTAGCTAACGAACTTAGTCAACACGCCGACTGCAACAGAATTTCCGACTGTCAGCACAGTCGGCGTGCAGTTTACACTTACTGCATTCAATGTGCTTTAAAACTGCAGCTCGTGTACATTCATAATCACGCATAAGTAAATAATTCAGTGCATTGCGTGTAAAGAGGCCAAATACGGTCCTCCACGAACACTTGTCCTACCACTCCATAAAAATTACAAATGTCATAACTTTTAACCCTATTTCAACTATTACAAATTCAATCAACTAAGAATGCTTTTTATTGAGTCTAATACCATTCAAATTTAATTTAAAAGAAGAAAATGCCAAAGTTCGAGAAAAATGTGGAGAGTATTAGTTCAATGACGAACTGGGAGCTGCAGGATTGTAAAAATTAAAAAATTACAATTGTTTAAGTATAAAATAGACTCAATAAAAAGATTTACAATAAATAGAATTTCTCCTCATTTTGGAAGAACATTTTGGCAGAAGGAGTCTCTTACTACGTGTGAAAATCAGTCATTACAGTTTTAGAAAAATCTTTGAGTCATAATCTTTACACAAAACACTTATATATGCCATTCTGTCGAATACATTTTCTAAATCCATAGAAAAAAAAATGGACACGCCCTTGTGCACATTTTCGAATTTGATATAGGACATTGCGTACTTACATATAGTGCAGGATTATCAGAACATGCTGGTAACAAATAGCATGCACGTAGCGGAATTAATAAACAAGTTTAGTCTGATGACGTCATCAGGCTAAACTTGTACCGGCCACAAAACGCGACTCACGAATTATTTTTCTAGAAATGTGCACAACAGAATCGCCATCATATTACTATCTAATAATTTTGAAAAACTCACTAAGTGCTAAAGCTACAGCAGACTATAAATGAAATACCATATGTCAATATTAAAGTAGGCCAGAATCTCATAAAAAAACTTTTATTATTTTTCGTTTACTTGGGAATTTGAAGGATGGATGAGTGAACCGTTTTCCTTTGCAGGATTCTCTTGCTTTTCTGGTGTTTGTTTTCGAAAGGGCTTGAATGTACTTAAGAAGCGGGTCCCGAATAAAGCTTCAGCAGTCAGATACAGAGCGCGCCGTACCAGGGTAACGACCGCATAGACGTACGGTACCATAGTGCAACCTGAAATCGGCCCGGGAGAGTTAAGACTGATTTTCTTCTCTCGCTGGCCTTCAATATGTACATAGTGTAATAAGTGTGGTAGCTTCATACAAATGTAGCAGCGCGGCTTGTACGTTGCCAGCGTTTTGTAGAAAGGGCGCAAGCGCATTCGAAATGTTTTTTTAGGGGAGCATGTTTTGGGTTTTAACAACTGTTTTTAAAATATTTACGTCCTTTTTATTTTCTTACGAACATTTTCAGGATTTTTATAGACCATACCGTTTCATCATGACCACAATTGATATACCTAATATTTACAATATATACACATACGATAAATTGATACACGATAAAGTCTAACAAATATTATTAGTATTAAAAAATATAGCATTTTTTGTCATAAGGCATATTTCAGCATCAACAACGCTTTGCTAAATTGGGAATAATTTCCATTTCACCTTAATACTGGTATCTTCGTAACTTGGAAAAATAAATGGGAAAGTGAGCTTTTTCAAATGGAAAAATATACTTCATGTGGTGAAACGTGACAAAAAAAAATTCATACACTGGTACATAAATCCATTTTTCCACGTTAAATTTCCAGAGAGTGGATTTTGTTTATCACCCGAAGAGGTCACGGCGAAGGACGGTAGACGGAGCGAGAACAATTTGGAACTATTGAATTTTTTATGAGATTCAAATGGCGCTACTACTAAACAATGAACCTATACGCACGTCACGAACGGCAGATATCTTGGTTGTACTTAAAACTATTGACGTCAATAACTCAAAAGATAGTGTTACGGGTTTGCAATGTAAGGTTTTCGAGTTCTTGTGGTTTTGCGATTGTTAAACATAGATAATGAAAGTATTTTTGCAGATCTAATCCAACCAAGGGACCTGCAATCGGCCAGCGCCAGGCCAAAAGGGCCAGGTTTCGTTTGAAAAAACAAATATAAGCGATTAAGAACCGAAAAAATAGTTTAATTTCTTACATGTAAGTAATTGTTCATTATTTGCTACATGAACAAAACCCCCACACTATACACAACAGATAGTTCGATACTTAAATGTATGAAAAGAAACAGCTATTCATTTCCATAAAAATTGAAGAGTTGAGGTAAAGAATGAACAAAGTCACTTGAGGAGAATTAAAAAAATAATAATTTGGAAAACTGTTCAACATTGGTGAAAAAGATATGTAAAAATGCTATCTGAAATAAAGTCAATGTTGACATAATGTGTGTAATTCATTTTACCTAAAAAAATTTTTAATAATCTTCTTCAACTTTTCTACCATTTAGTCTCAAGCATTTTATGCCTAAAACTAAAAGTTAATTTTTCAGGATGTTGCACTCCATTAGCCTTTCCCTGATTTAGGAAAAATATGCTCAGCGTGTAACTTAAATAGATGATTGTAATCGTTCTTTTCTTGGTCTCCTCAATTGACATCCACATTAAATTACCTAGTTGTAAACTAGGTTTACTGCAAAGCTTTAAAAGTTCTCAATCAATTATATAGTGATAACAGATTAGAACCAAGGTCCTAGAGCTAATATAGGAAACATGCCCTAAAAATAGATACAGATACCTTATATACCCATATGTGTGTCAGTATTGAAGTATGTAACTTCAGTACAACAAGATATCTACCGCAACTACTTCATTTTCATACGAACTTCACAAAAACTAATTATACTCTAAATCACTGTTAACTTCCAAACATTGTTTTTTTACACTAATAAATTTCTTTCATTCACACTAAACAGAAGCAAATTTTAAAGCCAATTGTTTCAATGTTTTTCTATTAGCACAACGGACTGGTATTTAAAACCAGTACCGTGATTGTTACATGAAAAATTCCCTGTTCTCGTGTGGTGGTCAAGTGTGCCTTATCTGGGACCCTGAGTTACCCGTTGGACTCTGGCAGTTCGGTAGGTCGATTATGGTAATCTCTATTACACGTAGTCCTCTTAATATTGGATCCGTTATATGTATTCCACGTGGATTATACACTCTTTCGTTCTGCGTTGCGATGAATTTTGATATTTTTCTTAAGTGCTGGGGATAGAGAAACAAGTAGATTAGTGATTTAACAAAGGCTTGTAATATGTAGTAAAACTTTATTCTCTCCTAGGACTCTAGCTTCTTCTAATTAATATTAGTACCCATAAAGTTATTCATACAAAACTTTTGAAACAAGGAATCATACTCTTGAATTCCAATTTGTTATCTACATATTTTTGTAATTGCACCTAATCACATCAATTCACCTTGATTCTTAATCCATTCATGGAAAGTACTTAAATAGTACTGAGCACAAAAATCTCACTACATTTCTAAACTATTTACGCACCTCTCATGTAAGAATGGCATAAGTGGAGTTATGTCAAACATGTTTATTGCTCCATTAGATACAGAAAAATATAACCCACATCCTCTCCAATTCTTGTACCTCTACCTACAATAGCAGTCTATAGAATTAAATAATTGGAGAGGATGCGTGTTATATTTTTCTGTATCTAATGGAGCAATAAACGTTTTCGACGGAACTCCACTTATGCTATTCTCCCATAAGGGGTGCAATTTGATAAATTACTATGTGTTTTTTTTATTCTATTTTTTACTTATAAAAATAATTTTTATTTATAAAAATTGGCACACTACATCTCCCACTCTGATTAGCTTTCCTCTACCTAAAAGGTTGTCTGGAAGAGGTAGCTACCGTCTTTGCCCACATTCGTTTTAAGTTGTTTATGTATACTATTCTTGTTCTTGTTGTGAGCAATAAAGTGTTTATCTATCTATCAACTTTTCTATGTACCATAGTGCTTATACTGATTCAATATAAAATGTTCAATGTGAATTCTATAATTTTGTCAATACATTGTTGATACTTCTTTATGGAGAAGCAGTTAGTGGCAACTACACAAGAGCACTTGGGAATCGCACTCCAAAGCCCATAAATGTTGTTTTTAAGATTCATGATGTGAAACGGGTAACCCCATATTCATATTCTGATATTCATTTCTGCGGTACAGGCCATTACTGTCCATACTGTCCAACCACGGGTTAACCAGACAATTTCCTACAGTAACAGCCAAATATAATTATCTCTAAAGGATTCATGGAAAAATTCAGACATAAATGAAATTTCAATAATTTAGCTTTACTTAGAATCAAACGTTACTAGTGCCCAGGTCAGATAAAAAACTGCAAAGCTGCGGAGCTATTCATTTTACTTCCAATATAATTATATACGTACAACAAATAGTACACAGAGTTGCAAGTTAACAACAAGCGAAAGACTGGTGTCTTTTGTGGTGGTCTGTCTTCTCAGTTTAGTATTTAAATTACAGTTTGTATTAATTATTTATCAAAAATAGAATATGTAAAAGTTGTAAAAAAGAACATTGGTTTCAAAGAAATGGCTGTCAAAAGTTACAGACAAATAATTAGTAAAAATAGTTGTATATATGGTAATACTGAGTTGTAAAAGCAGATAAAAAATGTCTCTATTTACCTTACACAAGTAGTCTTCTGTCTCCTCCCCCAAAACGAGGGAGAAGGCAAAGACCATAAATTTTAATTTTTCATAATATCAAGTCACCGAACGAACAAGTCGTGCGCTTGGTGGTAAGCAACACGACTGTCCATAACAGTTGCACTACCACTCTTTAAATGTCAAATCTGAGGAGCATTGACGTCATCCTGAATGAGGCATAAGAAGTTAATAAGTCCCATGTGTCACCCGCAGCCTTATCCTTCAAAACCGTATTAATGCTTGAAATTATATTATATTAATTATTATATTTAAAGCAGAAATAAGGTGACAGTACTTCCCTGGATGAACACTTTCACAAGAAGCTCTACTGCTACTAAATGAAAGATGTCTAAACACTTACCTTTTCATAATGTGTCTCTGTACAAATGTAAATGAAATATGCAGTCAAGCAAGCAAGGCATCCTTCACAGTACGTACTACAATCAGCCGTCTCTGCCATCTCGAAATGCTCATTCAAGCGGTCCATTGTGTATTCAAATGTTTGACGGTCAACCTGGAAGTTTTTCAAATAATAAATGAGTTGTTATGTCTATGTAGAGACACATTTAACAATGTTTATAAATCGCTTTTAAATTTCAACCTAAATATATTATTAATTATGTCAGTAACTCTAGTCCGTAGATATTTCTATAGGTTGGATAATCAACCATGCGTGTTTTACAGTACATATAAATAAAGAACACATTCCCAATAATTTATTTTATTATTTATTATGATCACTGACACTGACTATTATTGCATCTCAGACTGAAAACCCAGAATTAAAAAATAGAAGAAGAAGATGTATCGCAACAACGTTGTAAATGTGAAAAATAAAAAAGCTGTTAAATATAATACATTTTTTATTTACAATTATTTTCAAAAGTGTTTTGCTCTCTGCTTGTACAAAGACTTGGTTGTTAATCTTGTGATAATGAGATTTGAGTAGCATGTAACACAGTTGTTATGAGAGTACTGTACTAGAGAACTTCTTCACCTCTTGCCAGTACCTCTTGCGGCTTGCACAATGGTTTTTAGTAGCCATTTCTGAAGTCCCAGGTCCAATCCCCAGCTGGGTCAAGAAGAAAAACTAACTTTCCTGTATATGGGTCCGTGGCACTGTAGTTTTTTCCAATTTCCATTATACAAGTGCTTTAGTTACTGACTTTGGAATTCCAATACCAACATATTAATGTGACGTTGTCTAATATTTATATTTCATCATCACAGGTCATTCACGCAAGGTTTCATGTAATTCTGCAGGTCATATCTAACTCCATTCAACCATTTATTTCACTTTTGACAGTTTGAATTCTGATCAATTAGTGACGTCCTAATGCATTTTCGATTTGATTTTTATAACAAATGACGTTATTTTTGAAGAAATTGTAATCATGAATACAAGCAGGTTCAATAAAGAAGATATTGTCTGACTGGACTCGTGATGTTGCGTTTCACAATTTGTGTACTCAAGAATTCATAATTAATGTTAATGAGGAATCAATTGATGGTTCCTGTTCATATGGAGAAGAATTCAATGATTCTTTATAACAAACAATGAGAATTTATTATAATTATATACAATTTATTTCATTTCATTATAATTTATTAGACAGGTACCAAAATTTATCAATTTGAATAATTTTCGTTACATATTCTGTTGGCTCGATAAATATTGGAGCTAAAGAGCATGTTGCTTCACTAAAATTGAAAAATAAAAGAATACAGGAATTATTGCATTTTTTATCCATGGTTGTATATCAATAAACATGGAACTTAGAGGCATGCTTATGACACTATTTAACATGATACAATTTTCTGCATTCATACACGATCGAAAGTACTGATACATTATGTCTATTATAATACTTGCGATTGTAGAACAAAAAGCAACCCAACTTTTAATGTGAGTCACAATATATAGAGTTTATGTGTGCAACAAACTCATTATAGCCCTGCGATTATAACATGAAATCATCTAATAAATATTTCCAGTCACTAGTTTAGATAGATAAACTAATCTAGTCGGAGTCACCACGTTTATCTTGCCTTCTTGACATTAGATAAACAATATGACTTTCACTTACCCTATCCTCCAATTCGGGAGGGAATCTCGTCTGGAACTTTACTGCAGTCCCTTCCGAGTAGTCTCTTTGTATAAAAATCTTTGTTCCTTGCTGTGTAGGCGTCTGCTGACTACCTGGAGTGTTCGGACCCGACGGTATACGATTATTTGCCATTTTCGCTCTCCGTTTCAAAGTTCACGCACGAAATAAATATACAAATGTACACGGAGAATATAATTGATCATATCATAGGCATTGTAGCAACTTTGATACGCTATTAACGAGGGAAAATGACGCAAAAACACAACTTTCTCGTTGATTTCTTCCACAGACTATTAGATGATTTCTTCGCCCCAAAAAACAGCAAATGACATTTTCAGTGTTGCCAAGGTAATACGACTACTGCAAACTTGCAAGCATGGCGGCTCATTACTGAATGAGCACAACACCGAAATATACCAAAATGATGCCAAATTAGCCAGTAATTTTATTTATTTTAAGTTTAACTTGAAAATTAAAAAATTTCATTTTTTTCATGAATTTCGTCCCTGGAAAGGCGAAATTACTAACCTGTAAAAGGATTCTTTTAGAGGTTAGTAATTTCGCCTTTCTAGCGAAGACTATCGTGTAAATCTTAAAATGTTACAATTTTTTAAATATTATTCAATTGTTTCTGCTATTACACAAACTCTGAAAGAAAAATCTATTTATCTCAATAAGTTTGATTTACTAAGTCGTTATTATAAGATGTTAATTATTTGTTATTTCATGCCTAATTATTATTACTTTAAATATTCTGACTTTTAATAAATCCAGTTTCTTAACGTGACACATAGCTAAAATGTTCATTATTTATTTCCATATCGTAACCAAGTGAAAAATAAAATAATAACAGATAGTAAGCCCGCTTTAGAACTGGTGGTGAGAACTTGGAGAATAGCACTGCAACACCACCGACCCGAGATTTGAGAGGGATTCGCTCTGGACCTTTTGTAGGGAAAAGTGTCGTTTTTATTTTGACTTTCAATTATTTTGTGAAATCTAGTTTAAAGTGGAATAGGAAAGTGCTATTGTGCCTTAGTCGAAGATTAAAACGCGAAATTATACGAATCTCGAACTAAAATACCCGTATCGGCCCGTTCTAAGGAATCCCGAGTCAATCCAAGCACGCCACCTCAAATTGCCTATCCTCTTTGTGGCGGCCATATTTACAGAAAAACTTATTGTTATGTTTTCGGCTGAAGGGCTTTGTTTCCATGGCCAGCAATAAATTAAAAAAAAAAAGAAAAAAAAAAGAGATTTGAGACGTCTAAGGGTCGTATTCCAGAACTCTACTCAATGCTCAAGTCAGGATCAGAGTATGATTTCAAGCACTGGAATTTACGACCCTAATGGCAGGGACTTGAGTACGATTTCGAGTGCTTTAAACCATACTGAAATCCTGACTTGAGCATTAAGTAGAGTTCTAGAATATGACCCTAAATCTTGTTATTAGTAGTTTGTGGTCTAAATCTACTGCTATTGGGATTTGCCTTCGTTCATTATTTATGACCACAGAACACTATAAATGGTGTTTGAAATAAATAGTGTAAATGATAAAAGTGTACAAACCTTTATTTACAAAAAGCAACCCCTAGAGTGTCTTGCTCATTCTTCTCATCTGCCTTACGAATAGTTACGAATGAGCAGTAGAGTTTAATCAATATGACAATTGTTTCGAATGTATTTTGCTTACGTATAAAAGAATTTTATTTGCAATCGTTGCAATGTGGACGTCTTATGGACTTCCAACATGAGTAGAGTACTAGCTGCTAAACCATGAGTGCTATCATGACATAAAAAAGGGAACATAAAAGATTTTTATAATCTGAGTGATCGGGTTGTTAACTCGACTTAATTAGGACAATTCTCATCTGATAGGTACATAGAAGAAATCCGTGCGAGCTTTCGCGAACGTACTAACACTGCCGTGGTAACCACATTATCATTTTAAACGTACCTATTGTTGAGATATTCAATGTGCAGGGCGTTACTTGTCCTTTTAAAGTTGATACACAGATTACACGTAGTAAGATTGGCAGAATACCTCGTGAAGTAGGTATAGTCGTTTCTGATGAAACTGGACCAGAAGAATTAAATTTTTTTGCGTTATATTTTACGGGATGTGGGCTCATGGGTGCCTACTCGTATATTATTGTAATCTTCACATGTTTGGAGCAGTCCTTCAATTATTTATAAACTTAGCATCTATGAAAAAACCAACAAGAGCTCTGCTAAGTTCAAATTCGCTTTGTATTACCTAGGTGGAACCGCGGTGTGCCTCACTGTGTATTTTAAAGGTCTCTCGCTTGGATCCTCTACCGTCGAAACTGCGGTAATGACCTCCACGTATGCTTGCTGTTCTACAACGAATTGCGAGACAGGGCCAGCACACATCAAAATTGCTCTTGCAATTGCAGACTGCAGCAGCTCACAGATGTGCGTGCTGCGTGACGACATTTTGCTGACCGGTACTTAATTGCATTTTGGTCAAGGTTACGTGCGGTTATAAAGGTGGGTGTTTTATATAACAGTATTATTGAGTATTTAGTAGCCGAAAATCATTAAAAAAATGGTGCTACCTCGGGGTCCACCAAACCTGATATGGTAATAAAGACGAGGTAATTAATCACGGGAAGATCACGGTTAATGGTTACGGTATAAAAAAACATGACGTCAAGGTAACAAAATTAAATTGTAATATTATTGACCATAATATGGATATCTCGTTAGTACAGTACTGTCTTTGTACCCAACAGACAAAATTACTCCTTCAACTATGGTGCTGGTCGTGTGACTTGATGGCCTTGTGATATGGGAATTGAGTTCATTAAATAGTCCAATGTCCAATGTCGTGGGTAAATCAAATACCCATCTAGTATGACGAAAATATTATAAACGAATTTTCACAATAAAATGGTAATGTAATTATGTTTATTGAATATCAGTATGTTTTACCACCATGATATTCATTACTTTTTGTGAAATTACTCTACTAGTTTGTTAGAATTAAATACAAAAATCGAATACTAAGAAAAAATTCCTTCGATCCGGCTGGATTCGAACCAACATCTTGTAATAAACCGTCTTCATCTTTGTATTAATAGTTATAACAACCCAGTGGAGCAATTTCACAAAAAATAGTGAATATCGTTGTGGTAAAACATCCAAATATTCAATAAATGCAACATTTTCAATCAGCTGCTGGTACCTGGCTGAGTGACGAAATAGATTTCTCACTGATGACGTTACCTACCTACTACGGCTGAAAAATCGTTTAAAAACCAAAACAAAGATCTGCTAGGAGCACATAAAATAATTCATAATGTTCGCTCGTTTGCCGCATAACATTTGGCACGGTTTGCTATAAGACGTTGCATTGGTTCGAATCCATCTAATTCTAAGAATTTTTTTCTAAGTGTTCGATCTTTGTACTAATAATTATAACAATTGAACAACATGGTAATGTTAGAATGTGGGCGAGGTGCGTCACACACTACAAGAGATTTAACAGTAGATAACTATTTATTACAATTATACAGACTTTTTATCAATTAGATAATACGAAATAATATTAATGTCTAATTTAAATTTAAATCATAATCATAAGTTTGGAAAATAAATATTACTACACAATATTACTAAACTTATTATACTGTTCGGTATTGGCTTTATAATTTTATGTGCTCTATTAGTTATTTGTTAGGCAAGGCTACAAAGTTGTTGTTTGGCGCGAGTGGTTCAAAAATTGAATCCTTAGCGCAGCGAAGGTTTCAAGGCACGAGACGCAAAACAACTTTGCTGCCGAGCGAAACACATAACTCTCATCTCACTATAGCGAGGAAAATGGTAGATGAAAAAAAAACACTTGAGCTAGAACAAATCAGTTTTTTAACACCGCTGTTTTGTTTCTTTTTAATTTATTACAGTACAATTAAATCCAAAGTAGTGAAGTTGAAGTGATTATAATGAAAATTTGAAAAAAATAAGTTTAGTTTAGGGTGCGTTCTGAATTTACATTACATACGTTTTTTTCCTCTTTATATACATATATATATAATGCAAACTGGTCTCAAATACTGCCATTAGGTTATATATACAATTTACATATCCTAGTCCCTGTTCCTTTTTGTGATAGTAATCTCATACCCCGATGCGGGTTTGAGCATGATATCCAATTTGTGTGTCAGCTTGGTGTCATCGCCCGTGAAGTGGTAGTTAAGCAGGAGGTATGATAATGTTGTCTTCATGGAGAGTAGCGTGTACGCTTTGCCTAAAATGCCGAAATAGATTGTTAAAAATTTTGAAAGTGCAGAATTCATGTTGAAAAAAAGTAAACAAAGGAGTTGCCATTAAGAAAAAAAATATATTTAGAATTTTATAAATGTAAAAAGGTCTAAATAATGCATGATGTTTTTATTGTGCTTAAATTGTGTGCATGTAGAAACAAAATATTACCAAAACTTGTCTGAATAAATGAATTTATTATTATTCAATAAAAATCTTGCCATAATCGTACAGTCAACAGCACAACAAACAATGCACTTATGTTCGAATATCGCCTCCTTTGCGACGGAACAAGATCCGTCAATGTGTAGCTTGATGTGTTGCCGTCTGTATACATTACAAAAAACTCCAAGCTAAAAGGAAGATACTTCTTTACAAAACAAAATTGTCTATGAGAAAACTATTTTGGAAGTCGAAAATCATCTATTTCTTAGAAAACAGATAGATGTGTTAATATCTTACCTACACACACCCGCTTCCCGAGACTAAAAGCAGCAAAAGCGTTAGAGTTTTCTGGAAGCGTGGATGGGTCCAACCATCTTTCTGGGCGAAAGACATTTGCGTCTGGCCCCCAGAGATCGGGGTTTCGCTGCATCGCAGCGACCAGCATGAAGCAGTTCGTTCCCGCTGGGAGGACGTAGTTTTCTGAGAATTGGAAAATTTTTTCTTGACTTCTCAATATTATTTATTCATAAAAGTATTCACAGTTTTGTACAGTCAACAGTATATCAAGCTTAGAGCATACTTATCGCAAACGTTGATAAATAGTATACCGCACAAAAACGGTCACTACTTTTCTTGCCGTAGTTCATAATTATATTGATTCAATATAAAATATTCAATAAATAATTGAATTTTGTCGGTGCGCTGATACTTCTCTACGGAGAAGCTGTAGGGGACAACATGGAAAGCATATGGAAATCGCTTTGTAAGGCCCGTTAGGTTTTTTGAGATTCACATAGCAAAACGGGGTACCCCGTGCTATCATTTATGACATTTAATTTTACGGGAAATGCCGTTACTGTTCATGAGTAGGTAAAAGGATCTGAATGAGGATGAATAGGTAGAGTCTTGATCTTGTAAAAAATAATAATTATGAATTAGGTATTCCAATTTTCATAATAGCACCATAGCCAAAATAATTATAAATTAGGTATTCCAATTTTCATAATAGCACCATAGCCCATTCCATGGACCAATAAGATTGCTAATCTCCTTTACAGATCGTAATTCTGAAAATGGTCAAAATCCCATTATAACTTGATGGCGCTGATCAATACCGTGGAAGCAGTTTATATTATGTAAATGACATATTTGGTACTTATTGCGACATTTGGTATACCAATAGGTACCTAACTACTAAATAGCCGAGTACGCTGTTTTGAACCGCAGCAGTTACCAGTCCTCTTCAAATATTGGTCCATGCCCACACAAAATATACACTCAGTTACACATTAAACGATAGACTTCGAATACCCATGCTAAAATATCAATGATGTGGTATACCAAACTACGAAAGGTACCTTTTAAATCATTTATGAGTATAAATAGGTACATCACATAATTTTGACAATTTTTAAAATTTAGAAAAAGTTAGATTTTTTTTTTATAATTCCAAGTGACGGGACAAACAAGTCGTACGCCTGATGGTAAGCTACATGCCTGTCCATAACAGTTGCAGTGCTACTCAGAGCTTTAATCGCAAAGATATGAGGGGTACTTCCACTGCGCCCGTCACCCTGAGACATAACTGTGAACTGGCAAACATTACTATCATTTACACGATAAAGAAAAAAATTGTTTGCACCATTTATAGAGCATATGGTTTATTAAATAAAAATACGTAGTGTACCAATGTGTAATAAAAAATATTTAAAAACTACGTATTTTTATTCAATAAATTCAGGTGCTATATAAATGACGCAAACAATTTTTTCTTCATCGTGTAAAGTTGTCAAAATTAGGATAGTAGGTACTGGTTGCCATTTTACAAGTCCCAGGTGCCTGCAATTTCACCAGCATCCTTACCCTTCAAAAACCGGAACCCAGTAATGCTAACATTACTGCTTGGCGGTAGAAATAGGTGCGGTGACAATACTTCCCTGGACGAACTTTTCACAAGGAGCTTTACTGCTTGTAAAGAAATTGTAAAAACATGGAATTTCTATAATAGGTATATCATACTTAATTGAACATCTTCAGTGGCATATCGCGGTTGCACGGGTCCAGTGGGATACATCCTCAGGGTTTCCTTTATAATAGCTTCTAAGTACACCATTTTATGTAAATCGTGTTTTTCAATCTCTCTGTCTGTAGAGCCTAGAATTTCTTTCACTCTGTAAATAATACGCATATGTTAATATCCAAGCAAATAGGTCATCATGTCTTACGCAGTATCACATATACATTTTTAGAGTAGAATACAGAGATAGTCAACCAAAACTACCGTTTAAACCGAAAGACTACAAGTTCCATTATAGCATGGACCACGGGTTAAGAAATCCCTAAGGGATCCGTGCGCTGTACGCCAGGGGTCCGTGGCGAGGCCACCTAACATAATGGAACAGCAACCGTATCACTTACTATTCATTATGTAATTAAATAAAGTTTAATAGCAAACAATATAAGCTTGTAAAATCTAAATTTGTAAAAGAGGGAGGTTCTCTCTTCTGTAGGATGAGGTTACGCAGCTCCAGCCAAGTGAAAAAGTTGTTTAGAAGATTTATTTTCACCTTGTATGACACCAGTACAATTTCACCCTATATGCGGAAGGTCCGGGCAGTTGTTCCCAAGAAGGGACACCTGGAAACCGTTCCGCGAGAAGATGAATTTCACTTCACAATGGGTCAATGCCATCTAACGGATTCTTGGTGAACGAAAAGTGAACAATCCGGCCTAAGGCCGTCTAATACATAAAGTAGGTTTGTTACAAATCTAGTTTTTTTTAATCTTTCTGAAAAGGTGCATGGGCTGTTTGACATTGTGACTTTAACCCTGCATTATAGTGTTTTGTAATTTCCTTACAATAATCTGGCTGGCTGAAAAAAGGCTGTTATCAATTCAAAACAAATTTATTAGCCTTAAATAAATAAAATACAGTCTTGAAAACTCACGCCTACCGCCTCTTAAATAGAGGCGGTAGGCCGTGGGTTCGAATCCAGACTCGCACCTCCAGTTTCTCTGAATCTGGGTGCGAAATTTAATTTGAAATTTACCATTTTGAAAACATCGTGATGAAACCTGCACGTCGAAGAAAGTTCACAACCTCCGGAAAACGTGTGAAGCCCCCAACTCGCATTAGGCCAGAGAACTTCGCCTGAGAGGGGACCTGTGCCCAGTAGTGGGAAGTATAAATGGGTTGATGATGAAAACTCACTCTTCAAACGCCCTATTCTGCACTTCAGGATAAGATCCAATCAGTACAAGAATGGATCTTAACGTGGTGGCAGAAGTATCAGCTGCGGCTACTACCATGCCATCTACTTCTTCCCGAATCTCCTTGTCCGTATATGCCTCTTCTGGAGGCAGTTCTATGAGGAGATCTAGGAAGGCTTTGAAAGTTTTACCTGTAAAATAACAAAAAAAACCATCTATTAGCTTTTCGGAATTTATGTTATATTTACTATGAGCTTTTTGATGAACGAAAACATTGTGAGGGAACCTGCGCACATCTGCAAAAGCAATTTCGTCTGTCGAAGGATAAAAGCACATAACTGACATTTTCTACAAAAATCTTTATATAGCTATTGTAAGAAAATCACTATCTTTCTGCAGGTGAAACTCAATAACAAAAAACCTATAAATTCAATAAGTGGTCTTATTTGCAGAAAGATGGTGATTTTCTTACAACAGGTACATAATTTGGAGATTTTTTGTGGATTTGTGGAATGTCACTTATGGTTTTACCTCTGCGATTTAATTATGTGTGTGAAGTTCTAAATCTGCATCAGGCCAGCAGCGAGCATACATCCCAATTCCTCTCATTGAGAGAAGAGACCTATGCCCAGCAGTGGGACTGTATATAGGCTAACTATTATGATTATTAAAAAAATAAGTTAAGTGTTCCATTCTTGAGAGAAATATTTGCAGTAATGGTGTAACAGTCTGAGTGGTATGGTAGAATTCTCTTGTGTCACAACCTCATCATGACTAAAAATTTGTCGTATATATTATACATGTTTCTAATCTACCGATGACAGAATGTAATTTTGTTTATGATACCAAGTGACTGGATGAACAAGTCATACGCTAGGTGGTTAGTGATATACCTGTTCATAACAATTGCAGTGCTTTAAATCGCAAAGATCTGAGGGGTAATGCGCTCGTCACCTTGAGACATAAGTTGATAAGTCCCATGTGCTTGTAATTTTACCAGCACCCTTATCCTTCAAAAGTAGAACGCAGTAATGCTCAAATACTGTTTGGCGTCAGATATAAGCACCTAAGGTGGCAGCACTCCTCTGGACGAACTTCTTCACATGGAGGATTTTTTTATAATATTTAATGACGGGGCGATTATGTCGTGCGCCGGATGATAAGCTACACGCCTGTCCATAACAGTTGCAGTAGCTTTAAATCGCAAAGATCTCAAGGGCACTGTGCCACTGCGCCCGACACCCTGAGATATAGTTGACAAGTCTCATGGGCCTGTAATTTCACCAGTGCCCTTACCCTTCAAAACCGGAACGCAGTAACGCTAATATTACTGCTTGGCGGCAGAAATAGGTAAGGTGGCAGTACTGCTACTAAGTTTATATTAAATATGGTAGAATATTAATTTTCCTCAGTGAAGAAAAAGCTAAATATTAACGACCAGGCATGAAATTCTGAATCCAATTCTAATATTTCTGTTTACATCCTGTAATAAGGAACGATGTAAAAAATTGTAATTACCCGAAGTGTTAATAGTATCGCTATTATCCAGCCGTTTCTCGTAAGCTGCTTTTTTCTTTTGGATAATCTGAAATCAAATTTTAAGTAAAAAAAACTTGTTGAAATTTTATAGAATATAGAGGGCACTGAGGAAATAACAATTTGGCAATCAAAGACGGAATCTTATGTAAGTTTTTATCTTCGTTCTGAAACATTATAAAGACATCACATACGAGGTTTACCCTGTATAATGGGACGATGAATGTGAATTAACCTGTTCACACCTTTGTTATTGAAGCAGCGACTATGTACATACCATCGCATACATTTGAATGTTGAACGGACGCTCGGCCGCAATTAACTTCGATCAATCAACAACCCCTCAAGATGCCTCGTAGGGAGGCGAAACACGTGTCTGGTATTGCTGGTGGTGATGTTTATGATTGTAGTTGCGCTTGTGATGCAACTAGTGTGGGAAAATTATTTGCATGAAGAAATATTCAACACAAGCGCAGCAAATTTACACGATTTAATCTTCACTGGGTTCGCGGAGTAGCAAATTAATTTACTCCCATGTTTATTAACATGGACTTTCGCAAAGTAACGCTTGAATCTATTATTCATTAAGTATTGCCTCTAAATTTATGAAACAAGTACACAAACTGGAATTTTTAGGTGCCTTATGTTTTGTATTTTGATCTTTATTATTATTTTTATGTGTTTTCTTGATAAACAAGAATTTAATAGGGGCCTCCAGTTAGTAATTTTATAGTCCAAAAGTAAACAAATTATCCTCAAACAAAATACAAAAAAGAAATACCTGTTTTAAGTAATATAATATTTTCTTATATGTACTATATTTATTATCATAATTACTTAGGCAGTAGTGGAATTAAATTTGTAACTTGATAATTATGATCTTTTATAAAAAAAATGACCTAAAAAGTTGATAGAATTTCATCTAATTGCCAAATTTTATTGAAATGTTAGCGGAAACTGGGTGAAATCCAGTAAACCGATTCACCCCTTAATTTGTCACCCTTAGAGGTTGAATATTTTCTTCAAATTTGAATGGGACTATTACCAGGGTACCCTCTTTCCTACGAAAAGAAGATTCATCGAAATCGAGAATAAATAGAGTCTAATTGAGAACCTCCGACTTTTTGAAGTCAGTTAATAAAATACGGAACAACGCTGCGTACATTTCGACTTTCGAGTCGAACACACGAAAATATGTCGACCAGTGTTTTTCTGTAAATTAAGAGGCAAATAAATTCTCACCCAATTCTTTGCTTTTATTTGAATAATTCTTATAGTCGTTTGTTATATACCTAATAAGTATGTTATTTTACTAAGGCTACTTACATTATTGTTCAAAGTCAAAGTAAAATTAAGGAAACTACATCTTAAATCGTCATATAAATTAAATTCTAGTGTTTATTCATAAGGCAGATCCCCTGAGACGAATGAACAAGGAACTGTAGGGTTTGTTCTTTGTAAATAAATATAATATTTGTTTCAAGCATCACAGGTCGAGACAACCTGTCAGGACTTTTTGTCATATAATTACGCAGAAGGGTAAATAGATGACAAAAGTAAATAACCTTTAACATTGTAAAGTTTTTGTTTCACTATAGTTTTAAGCCTGGTGAATGGCAAATTTTGAATATGAATCGGGATCTTATTATAGAAGTGTACACATTGCCCCTTAATTTGTGACTTTTGAACACGACAGTAAAGAACAATCAGTTCCGTTAGACAATGTTATGTTGAGCTTGCAATTCTATTTACGCCATACTTAATTACCAAGTGATTTTAATATAAATAACAAAAATACATAATACAAGTACCTTATCAGAAGTCCTATGGAGAATACTTATCAAATCTTGCTCCTTCTTCTTCAAGCTGGAGAAGTTGTACAAAAACGGGCTATGCATCCACAGGCTCTGAAATCTTTGTGCGTACAAGTTAAATAAAGATTGTAGTGCCCGTGAATATTCGTGGTTATGGATGACGTCATCGCCTGAGTCCGATATTCCCATTACTGTTTCTGGAAAAAAAAAAGATATTAGAGGCACGTTTGTAACAAACCATTTAAATCTACTCTGCAATATGAGCTTCCTCTAAGTAAATGCTGTTAAATGCTTTTTAACAGATTTCAAAAAAAGGAGGAGGTTCACTATTCGACCCAATGACTTACAATTATATAGACGTCGGGTCCGCGCTAAAAAGTGTCCGAACTTATAGGGCGTTAAAGTCGTATACAGAGCGTCATTCACGCTTTAGTCTTCGTTTGTTCGACTGACAGCGAAGCAAGCAAAATTAGACAGTACTGCGATGGCATTACAATTTAAATTCAACGTTTTAGCATTTTCATATTCATTTACATGTCACTACGTTTAAATAGGTTGACTTGGGACATTTTTTTCGTGGTTTTTGTATTAGACTCGTCGTCCATTTATTTGTAAGTCAATGATTCGACCAAGTTTTTTTTGTATGTATGTTACACGAACCGAACTTGATGATTGGAAAGAGGGCATCTCATAAGTGGTCCCATTTAAATTCGAAGAAAATATTCAACCCCTAAGTGTGGCATACTAGGGGATGAATAACTTATGAGGTTGGTCTTTTTAGTAAGTAGGTACTCTGTATTGACATTAAAGCTATCTATATTCATTTACGCTGACTCAAAGTGTAGGTATGGATTACATATGTCACGAATATGAGATCAGATTTCCTCCCATGTTGCCATTCACGTAATCAACCCAATCATACGCCCCACTATTTTTTCACTTCACTAGTTTTCCGAGGGTTGTGAACCATCTTCGACGTGAAGGATTCATCAAGCGGTTTTCGTACACCGAAAGGCTCACGCTAAATTTATTTCAAATTAAATTGCACGTAGACCTTTGTTCTACGGATGAGTCGATAAATTCCGAGAAACTCTGAGTAGGCTACCACGACTTTTTATACAAATGATAATGTGTAATGACAATTATGATCTTCGTAATTTAGTAGCACTAGAGAGCTCCTTGTGAAAGAGTTCGTTCAGGGAAGTACTGCCACCTTACCTATTTCTGCCGCCAAGCAGTAATGTCAGCATTACTGTGTTCCAGATTTGAACAGTAAGGCTGCTGGTAAAAGTACAGGCACATGGGACTTGTCATTGTATGTCTCAGGGTGTCGCGTGCAGTGCACTCAGATCTTTGTCATTTAAAGCTCTGAGTGGCACTGCAATTGTTAGGGACAGGTGTGTCACTTACCACTAGGCACACGACTTGTTCGTCCCATCACTTAGTATTATATAAAAAAAAATTAAGACAATAAGAAAAGCAGCCAGACAACCCACCAAACCAAATAAGTTTTTAAGAAATTCTTTGTGCTTTGAGTACTAGGCTTGTATAGTTTATGAGCTACGAACTATTAGGAATATATTCCCTACACTGACCGACATGACCTAGTTCGTCTTGCACGGTTTTAATAGTTCATTGTTGGTAGGTCAATGAGTTCATCCTTCTTTTTAGTTTACTACGGACTAGGAACTGTTTGCGTTGATAGTTCACCTGTCTTTTATACAGTAGGAACGGTGCGAGCGGTACAAATAGCGATCTTTCGCTACTTTTAGTACAAGTTCGAGTGGGATGCACGGTTGAACTTTCCCAGCTCGTTCTAAGTCTCGAATACGTATCTACATTTTGTATATATACGAGCTTGCAAAAAAGGTAATATTTTTGGTAGGTATCTGTATGTATAATATCAACCTACGTATACGAGTATATGAAATAGTTGTACCTAAATATTCATTTTTAAACACATAATTCTGACTAAAATTCCTATTTTGTAAAAAAAGGATATTTAGTTAGAATGACAGTCAGACAGTTACTGATAAATCATTCATAGATTTCTCATGATGGCGCTACGACTAAAAAGTCGTTGAAAAAACCAAATACAAAGACACGGCGCAAGCACATAGAAAGATTCGTGAGGTCCGCTGGTTCGTTCTGTGGCTTAGTTGGTATAGCGTCTGACACAGTAAGCAAGAAGACGTCGGTTCGAATCCGGCCGGATCGAAGGAATTTTTCTGAGTGTTCGATCTTTGTATTAATAATTATAACAAACTAGTGGAGCAATTTAAAAAAACAATTGATAATGAATTCAATAAAAATTTAGAATGACAGTCTTTAAACCTGTAAAACATGAAGGAAAATCAAATAGTACCGATTCCATACAAATTGTATTTTTAAATATTTAGTACAGTGTAGTATTGACCTCATAATACTAGAAGTCCGTAATAGTTAATGTGAATAAAATTACTAGCTTGGAGCGTTAGTTCAATGTCCGAGCAAGGACAAGACGAACTAACTAACTAAGGAACTAGATGAACTAGAAGACCGACCTAGTTCAGTTGACCGATTGAACTAACTAGGATCATTCCCGCTAAGGACCAATCAGGTACAAGTCTATTGAGTACATGGAAGAAAAAAAAACAATGGAAGTGCCATGAGCCTTGATTACTATCGGAACTGGGGGTCTACTCTCGATCTCCGTCCGACATCCGTCCGAAACAATTACTGCCATAAAAGCAATACTTGACTTGAGATCGAGAGTAGACCCCCTGATGTCGCCAAAACGCACACAAACAAAATGATAAACACTATGAAATCTTGATAATGATTGGTCATAGTTTCTAATTTTAAAAGATGTAACAAATTCTGCATTGTTAATATAATTTAAACTTCACCCAGTCGTTATATCGTTGAAACTTTTGTTGCAAGTTACGACGATTTGATTTTATATTGAAATTTTTTCAACATGCTGACATCTTGCGGTCTGTAGCTGGACTACGACTAACGATTAACATGTCAACGTATAGATAATCAGAAAATTGATAATTTATTAAAATAAGACGATGATTTGAAACTACTAGGGGTGATATTTTTGGTGCAGCTATCATTTTTGCACTCCAAAACAGCACAATAAGGCATTTTTTTAAGGCAGTTTGCGCGAAAGAATGACACAACCATAGCATACAAAGCGAAAATGGCGGACTGAGCTCAAGTAGGTCTTTTGAGACCTATATATAATTGGCACGCGTCAGACGCTAACTAACCACTTCTACTCTACTAAATTGTTCTATATTTGAGTACTACATTATTAAGTTTGGTGGCACTACCTGTGTTCTACTTAGACCATGTTTAAATTAAAAAGTTTATCCTGTCGAGAATCTATTTCCGACGCTTAAAAATAGTGGGGTACAAGTCCCACGAACTAGCTATGCTATCACTTTTGCCTTCTAACTTTTTTGTCGTATACTTTATAGTAGGTACAGACACGCTATGACGGCCGTTTCTCTCATCAAGTTTCGTATATTGAAGGAGCTAATTGATGTACGTACATTATTGTCAATAGTGACGTGCAGTAAAATTTTTGGATGTATATTTACGACACAACTCGGCATTGTATTTCGAAATTCGAAATTTCTAGAAATGAAATCTAATACGATCGTCACTTATGGATCGCTGTCCAGCACAACTTCTACCTCAAACAAATTCGCGTCAAAGCTCAATGCAAAACAAAGCGTTTCGAATTAACGATATAGGTATTAAGTAAACATTTTTATTTTCGTTTTATTAAAACTTTTTAATCAGATACCCCTTGCAATACTAGTTATAAATCTAAAAACTCATAGATACGTCTAGCATTTGATTATATTCTTTTCGATAATGAATTGAGATTTAACTTCACTAATGTAATCTGTCAAAACGGCCACCATAGCGTGCCGGTACGGTAGTAGGCATACAATAGGATTGTGCACAAAATATTACAATATAATTTCTTGCGTTTCTCCGATATAAAATGCACATAAGAAAATTTTACATTTAAACACTTTAAATTTACCAGATGCAGATTGCACGTCCTCTCACTTCGGGAATTTTGTAGGAATTGATGATGGAACGAATCAACGTAAGGAAAAGGAATTAGAGAACGATTCGAGAGGAACCAGTAAACATTGTGATAAAAACGTGAGATGTCGATGTAGGTGATTAGCACTGTCATAGGTCACAACCTATTCTGGCAGGTTCTGTTCTAGATGGAGCATTAGTGACACTACTTTCACCCAACCAAGATCGACGATTGTTCATAGTCGAAAAAATATGAAATACTTACGAAAAGTAATCTCCATAGCTCTGTTTCCCAAGTAATCAACAGGATTAAATGGTCCCCTCCCTGCTTTAGCAATTAGATCTTTTACTAAAAGCTTAGATTCCTTGTTGAATACACCAATGAACTGGTCGATCACGTCTTGTACGAAAGCTCGATTGATTATCTTGCGATGTTTTTTCCAAATTGGAACTGGAAACATTTATTTCGTATAAAATTGACACACAATGAATACACGAACACCTCACTGTAAGTTGTCACTGTTGTCCGTGGACACCTGTTGTCACCAGAGAAGTTGATTAGTTCGACTGTTTATATCGATGATTCTCAATGTTGGCTTTATCAACCCCCAGGGGTACACAGACAAGTGGTTCATATCAGCGATGTAGGCAGGTTGTGATCAAAATTTTGACTTTCTATTTACACAATAATTCACATTGTATAAATAGTACCATAAACAATGTCAAATATTTATTTATTATATTTTACATAATATACCTACGAAGTAAACTATTAAACTTTATGTATGTAGTGCAAGATGTTCGATTAGAGAAATGCATAAAACTTTTTTGGAAAGTTGTGACGCTAAACAGTTAAATTGATCAAAGTGAGTAGCATTGTGTCAACTGTTAAAAATATTCATTTGAAATTGATGAATTCAATTGAATTGGTCTAAACAAAACAGAAAAAAATGACTCGTACGGGACAAAAGTTTGGGGACCTCGGGACCAGTGTGATGCTGATTACACTACCCAGCAAAAACCCGAAATGCCACTTACCATCAGCTCTTATCAGGGCTTCTCCAAGCCAAGGCTTCGACAAGTCATAAGCCCAGATCTTCTTTAGGCAAGCGTTGGACACCGTGTAAATATCATCGGGGTCCGTGATCACTGGGGAGCAAAATTGGTTATGGAAATTCAAATTCTGTTTCATTAAATAAACAATGTCAAATGTTACAGGTACATAGATACACTGACATATATACATATCACGTTTCTTTTAAAATAAGTAAATTTTGAACTGTTATACCAAAAGTGCTTATTTTAAAAATATACATATAATAGACACTATACATTTTCGGGACTGGCCACTTACATAAACAATATTTAAAAAGTAATTACAACATTTGAAAATGGAACTCTTTGGCTGTAGAATACAGTTTGTTTCATCTGTCACTTGTTTTTACATTGTGGCGTCATTTTAGAAAGTGGTTGTCTACATCACCATGGATTTAACTCGTGAAAATTTTCGTAGTATGATTTTCTACGACTTTAAGGCTCAACTCATACTGGCGCAGAGTCGAAGCGTCGCGTCGCGTCCTGTTTTTCAACTACAACGCTTGGCTACACGCGTCGTCGCGCGACGATGCTCGCTTTAGTGCGCCCGGATCACAGTGTGAACGGCGTCTGGCGCCTCACTGCGCTCAAGTGACGCGTGTCGCCTGTTTCCATATTTGCATAATACAAATTTATACCTTAATAAAGGGAAAATGGAGATGAATATATTATAGGCGAAAAACATGACGCGTTGCGACGCTTCGACTCTGCGCCAGTGTGAGTTGAGCCTAAGTGTAATTTAACAGCTCAGCGGAGCTTCTCTCGGCTTCAAACTACTTTTGGCGATGAAGCACTATGCAAGACTACTATTTATAGCTGGTTTGCAGAATTCAAACGCGGTCGTGTGAATCTCAGTGACGAATTTCGTGATGGTCGTCCGTCCACTGCTGTGAAAAACAAAATCATCGATGCTGTGCGCCGTATGATCAAAACAGACAGACATGTGACATACCATGAGAATCGGGCATCTTTAGGCATAGGCAGAGTCAAATACAATCAATACTACACAAACATTTGAGTGTGAAAAAGCTGTGCTCTCGGTGGATTCCACACAATTTGCCTGAGGCTCAAAAAACGGATCGCGTTACTTGGTGCAATGCCATGCTTACCAGATTCAACGAAGGGGCGTCAAATTTGGCATGGGATATAGTAACAGGTGATGAAACATGGATTTATAGTTACGATCCCAAAACAAAGCAGCAATCGAGCGTATGGGTCTTTTGAGATGAGTCGAAACCAACCAAAGTGGCGCGCGTGCAAAGTGCCTCTAAGCGGATGATTGCTTCTTTTTTTAATAAAACTGGACACGTGATTAATGTTGCTTTGGAGAATCGTTGTACCGTGAATAGTGATTGGTACACGACCATTTGTTTGCCGGAAGTTTTGACAAACCTCGTAAAAGTAACCGTAAACCCCGTATCATCTTGCACCATGATAATGCCAGTTCTCACACATTTTCGAAGGCGAACAATGTTGACCTTATGAGCCACCCCACGTTCAGTTCCGACCTGGAACCTTGTGACTTTTATTTATTTCCAAAAATTAAAGAACCAGTTACGATTTTCATCACCTGAAGAGGCTGTCGAAGACTATGAAAAATATGTTTCAGAGATTGTCACAGAGGAGTGGCATAAATGTCTTCAAAATTGGCTTATTCGTATGAAAAAGTGCATTAACGCTAACGGAGAATATTTTGAGGAGCAATAAATTCATTTCTGACCATTTGTAGTATTTTTTTCATTCCGGAAACTTATAGTGCGCCCCGTAAATAATTGCCGATTGGTTCAGGAATTTTATTTGTTAACTGATTTTTAAATTTATTAATAAGCAACTTTTTGAAAATGCAAACGCGTGTGCCATGAATATCAATGTTATTAAATGTATTATTAAACGATTTTTTTAACCTATACAATGGTGATCGCTTGCCAGCATTGGTACGACATGCGTTAATAACAAACAGGTAATGAGTCCGTGATGAATGCATGTGGACTTTGTTTGGGACTTTGTATGATATGTTGTTAACAATATCAGAACAATCATCATTTTGTTGTCTGTTACACGATTATTCCGACATCTGTGAACCGATTTCGATGACTCTATTTTTGTAGAAAATAGGATAGCTCAGTAATGGTCCATTTCAAAATTGGAAAAAATATTGTACCTCTAAGTATGGTAAATTAGGGGATGAATCTGGCTTATTGGATTTCACCCAGTTTCCGTTAACCAACTCCAATAAAACTTGGCAAATAAGTAGATGAAATTTCACAAACTTTCAATACAAATCGATGACCATCTTGAGCAGGCTTGTATCGAACAATTACTTAAAGCGGTTTCAAGCTTGCACTTAGCGCATTTTGGAGTATGTTCGCCAACATACTCCAAAATGCTCCGTCTCGGTTCAATGTTTGCCTCATATTTCTTAACGGTAGTACGATAAAGTGTAATGACTAGACATCGGATTATATGCATTTGCATGTTTGCATATGCAAACGCATATAATGCTATTTTTATAGCGTTATTGCATATTTTGGTACTTTTTCATTGACAGTGCTTATTTTAGTATTTATACGTGTTAGACGTGTTGTACTACGCCGCCGTCCCCACACCACACATCAACACATCGCCCTCGCACGCACTGCGAGAGCGCATTGAGAGCGATCCGCGAGCGTAGGTACTCGACTCGCTATTCGCATTTATCAACGGCACCGGACAAATTCTGCCTGAAGAGGTCTCGGCAGAAATGGCGCCAAATTTTAAGTTCTGTCCGGTAACGTCAGTTGACGTTGAAAGGTCATTTTCAGCATATAAATTAGTTTTAAGTGACAAACGTCACAAATTTGCGCCAGAAAACCTTAAAAAATATGTTATTGTATATTGTAGAAATAAAGTTAATTCTAATAATGGTTTTTTGATTGTGCATATTTTGTGCATATTTCGCCCTTTTTTAGTGCATATTTGCATGCATATTTTGGCATTTTGATAGTGCATATAATCCGATGTCTAGTAATGACCTTAAACTGTACAAGGAAAAAACAGTCTTGATAAATTTCGGCTGACAGCAGAGTATACGGCTGGCTGCGGTGTTTTATTAACAATAAATAAGATACATTAATCATTTATTATTATATGTGAAGAAATGTACTCATATTAATAAAAAAAACCCTTTCCTATGAATATTTTAATGATAATCGAGAATTTACTGAAGTAATAATATGTTATGCAAGATTTTTTTTTATGATACCAAGTAACGGGACGAACAAGTCGTGCACCTGGTAGTAAGCGATATGCCTGTCCATAATAGTTGCAGTGCCACTCAGCTTTAAATCCACTGCGCCCATCACTCTGAGACATAAGTTGACAAATCCCATGTTCGTGTAATTTGCACCCTTCCCCTTCTGAACCAGCACCCTTCCCTGGATGAACTCACCAGCACCCTTCCCTGGATGAACTCTTTCACAAGGAGCTGTACTGCTACAAAAAATGATTATTCGGTAACGGTACGTAAATTTCAACTTTTTGTTGTACCACAAAAGCAAAGCTTTTACACCTAGAAAATACTATTGATAACCCAGAAACAAAAATTGTGTTACAAGATGTTATTAAACAAACCTGGAGCGACATATCAAATTGATGAAACATTCGTATTGCATTATAATATATAAAATTATGTAAATTGTAAACTTACCGTAGATCTTGAAGGGGCCTAGTACTCCATAAAGAACGTCTCCTTTCGCTATACATTCTTTTCCAAATTTCTGGATGACTCTCCACGAATCTAAGAAGGTACACGAATAATTAATATTGTTGGAGTCTATAATATTTTTTGACGAAATTTTTATAATTTTCATTTTATTTGTTTATGACATATTTTAATTTTTACAAATTTGGTTTCATTGTTGCCGACATTTAAAAGTGTTAATTTTTTTTAAATTTATTTACATATTTATTGCAGGCCACATGACCCATAAAATAAATATCTTAAGGACTAACATACATATAATATAATATGACAATAAAATAAACTAAACAACTAATCTACACTATTAAGTCACTAATCTATATTAAGTCCAGATATGGTAAATGTGTTGAATTGAAAACAAAATACAATAGTAATATGTGTTATTTCCAACTGATCTCCAAAATGATCCACCGCCAATTTTAAATTGCAACTCGTCCCCTCTAAATTTTGCATCCCCTTAATATTTATATTTATTCTTGATCTCCTGCATTGGGGAGCCGATGGGAGTAGATAATAATTTAAAATAAAACGGATCCCCCAGGGTTCCGAATAGCCGTAATTTCTACCTTTGGTCTAATAGAGCCACATACGATCATACGCATATCTGTGATCATACTTACGTCACAAGTGTTTTTATCACAATATGAAAGCCACAAAAATGATACGAACTATAATGAAGCATATGAAATCAAATTTAACATGCGATTGGAGATATTTAATTTAAATAATTCAGGTTAAATATCCCAACTGTTCCTTCATTTATAGAATATCAATTTGTACATGCCCATTCGTGGGGCATAACGCACAATATTAACGATAAATAATTCGTACTCTTATTAAGAGTAGAATCAATCGCTTTGGATAAAAATATGTAGTAAAATTGAAGATATACACGGTGTGAAAAAAAATTCCTAAAAAATTTCACGATGGCAAAAAAACACACTTACCTCGACATTTTACACGAAAACCGATTTTTTGAAATATACTTACGTTGACTATCACCAATTAATTTATGTGCAATTCCAATCAGAGGAAGCGCGCCGTCGAATGTCGGTGGCAGTTTTACATCCTTTCTTGAATGGCTTTTCCACAGTTTTAATAAACTTAGTATTATAATTGTTAATAGTAATATTAATGGAATACCCATCTTTTATAACGATATCTTAAGTGTGTTACTATCTATTACTACCTGGTTTTACGCAAGCGTAAAAGTTTTACGTTTTTGTCTTGGTTGGTCCAACCAAGCGGAATCATAAGTCAATTTGTAATAAAAGCTTCTCTGTCACATAGAGTTCTTATTCATGAAAATCTCGAATATTTTATGATTATTTCACTTTCAACCTCTACAGATAAACTTTATTTTACAAAGTGAAATAACGTCGAAGAAACACGCACGCACGTCACGTGTACAGGAAGGCACACTAAAGTCTAAGAAACAAAAATTAAACAAATGTTATTTAAGCGGTACAAGTGGTCCTGTAGAGTAAGGGCGCGTTCAACTTGACGCTTGTGCGCTGCAGTTGCGCGTTTGCGTCAAATGAAGTCATATTCATTTTAAATATTTTTAATGAAATAAAAGTAAGAAATGGCTTGAAATAAATTCTGATGCTCATAATAAGTTTTTCTTCTTTCGTTTTAACATAACGTACAGTCAACAGCACAACAAACGTGTATAACTTAGGGCGCGTTCCCATTATGCCGTAACCTTTTATTTATGGTTGAACGACGGTCGTGTCTAACTGTTTCCTCTAGATCGTGACGACAATTTATCGATTCATGGCAGCTGCATTGTCGTTTGCAGGACAGAATCGTTTGTAGCTACGATTATCTGTCGTCACACTTTAATTATGACGTTTTATTTATCGTCAGACGACTGTGGTTCTAGCTCTTCCCATTGTCACGACCGCGACAGTCTGTCATCGTAACGTCAAAAAAATCGTGAACGACAGTTAATCGTGTTGTACTATATGTTTTTCATGTATTGTGTTGTTATTATATGTATTTAACTGCCTCCGTGGTCGAACGGTTATCGTGCTAGACTGCCACGCAGAGGTCCCGAGTTCCATTCCCGGGCCGGGAGAAATATTTGTATGGCCTACATTTATTTCTCTCGTGAGTTTGGGTCTAATTTGTGGTTGTCTATGTGTGTGTCCATGGCACCCGCGACACAGGGTTTCCCTAGTGCGAGACTCTGAGTGTGTGCGTTATTATTATTTCTATTATTATATTAAGCACTGTAAAACTAACTATATGTGAACAACTTCATTTAAATATACCAGTGACGACACTTTAAACGCACAACTATTGTCGTGACGACATAAGGAGAACGCGAAATTACACTTTTGTTCGAATAGCGCCTCGAGAGCACAACACGACGGAACAGACGGAACAAAATCCGTCAATGTGTAGCTTAATATTATACCGCCGTTCTTACATATTTATAAATAATGGTAAAACGACACACGCGACAGTATCGTTTCCATAAGCATCACCATTTCGACGTGCTCTTAGAGGCCTACTGGGTTGAGGAATTTTAGAAGATGTTTGATGTCTAATGCTGACTCAAGCGCTATCATTTCAGAGTAAAAAAAGTAAATTAATCAGCTCTATAACAGTGTACAAAACAAATTTCTTTTTTGTATGATAAATGTATACTCTGGCGGCCTTAATTTTTTTCATATGTTAACCGCCGATGTAACCGATTGTCTATTTATTATACATGCTACCAATTATATAATTTTCAAATAATTACAGCATTATGTATTGCGTGTTTATTCTAGCGTTACTATAACAGAGTTTTTAACATTGATTAGTAAGGTAAAAAGCTCGTTCTAGTCGCACAAAAGTATATTCGGTCAAAATACACTCGGTCGATCCACCGGTTTAAAGTTAATATGAGTATTTTACTGCCCACGCTTAGTATAAACTTTACTCGGACGGCTACATTCTTTGATCTCGAGATCCACAGCGTCTAGTTAAGATTTATTAATTTATTAGATTGCAATAAATAAATATCGTGATTAAGTTGGTTCTAGTCCCAAAATTCTTAAAATTAGTCGTTGTTTAGAAAATACAATAGATTAAGTTGTCTTCTTCTTAGTGTGCCGCTCTCTACGAACGTTGGCGACCATCATGGCTATTTTCATTTTTGTAGCTGTCGCACGTAAGAGGGAATGTGTGCCAAAGTGGAGCCAGTCTCTTTACGCTTTCCTTGTATTTTTCCCTGCATTATTAGTTGAAGAATCCGGTATCTATTGCCCTTCATTACGTGGCCAAAATACAGCAACTTTCTTTCCTTTACAGTTCTGAGTATTTCCAACATTTTTCCCACTCGACGAATACAGTCTTCTTCAAAAAGTCTCAAATTCATACGCTTCTTTAATAAGATTCCGATTGATATTCAAAATTTGCCATTTACGAGGTTTAAAACTATGGTGAAACAAAAACTTTATACTAAGGGTTATTACAGCTTCTGCGTACTTGGATGACATAAATCCGTGGTAGTGACCCGGTTAGCTGTCGCAGGTAGTCTCGACCTAAGATGTTTAAATTAAATATTGCAATGATAAATGTATTCAAATGTATATTTACAAAGAGCAACCCCTAGAGTTTCTTGTTCATTGTTCAGTTTTAAATCAGTATAACTATTTCAAGTGTAATTTGCTTACCTATGAAATAAAGATTTAAAAGAAGAGTTAACGCCTCCGTGGCCGAACGGTTACCATGCCGGACAGCCATGCAGAGGTCCCAGGTTGGGTGGTGTGTTTTCGCCTTCTACAATAAATTCATGTGGATCGAGTAATCTATTTTGTTGCTCCCCATTGGCGGTTTACAAAACTTTCATAAACATCATTGGAATCAGCGATTTTTACCGCATCTATTGATCTATGTTTCACGTCAATTGAAGCACTTTTTTGGCGTTTAGTTCTATCGCAAATTCGGGGTTCATGTCCTACATCATAGTGTCAATCGACATAATTTTCTCAGTTTTTTTTAACTAGGAAAATGAGTCTACTTTACTCGTAATAAGCTCATAATTTATGTTCATGTTTAATCAGCCGTTTCTACTTTTATTTTTTTTTAGGAAAACGTCTTTCTTACCTAGTTAAATGTTGATTATGATTGTACCATAAAGCATTTTGCTTCATAAATAATTTGTAACGTACGATATTTGAATTGTTTTACCTTGAATCCTGTTACTTTGATCCGTAGGTTCGACTCGTTTGAATTACGAGTATTTTGTTGTTTAAAGCAAGCCGCCTTTTAACCGTCAATATAATAAATAGTTGTATGTTGTTTTGATGTTATAGAAGGCCGAAACCGGACCTAGTGACTTTACAAATTAGATTTTCCATAATTTTCGGGTTTTAGTGTACCGACACTAAAACCTGTCTCCGGTTTTTTGTGTTTAATAAACCATTGTTATTTTATAAAACATTTAGCATTTTGAATTACCTAAACAGACGAACCAAAAATTTTAAAATTAAAAAAATAGAAAAATTAATTATCTTATTAGCAATGTTAAATTTGCAAGAAGCTTGTGACGTAAGTAAATAAGTCAATTTATCGCACACCAGACACTTATTCAATTAAAATTTAAATGTTTAGTTAATAAATATAATGGATTTAGTTTTATTACTTTACATAGGATTTTTTAATAGTGAAGCTCCTTGTGAAAGAGTTCAACTAGAGTAGCACTGCCACCAAATCAACAAGTAGGTAGTAATGTGAGCCTAATGGCTGAATTCACACTGGTGCAGAGTTGAGGCCTTGCGTCGCGTCGGTTTTAATTACAAAAAGCGATTCCGTATTTGCTTAACACATATTTGTACCTTAATAATGGGAAAATAGAGATGAATATGGTATAGGCGACAAACAGGATGCGTCGCGACGACGCTTCGACTCTGCGCCAGTGTGAGTTGAACCTTACTGCGTTCCGGTTTTAAAGGGTAGGGTGCTGGTGAAATTACAGCCAAATGGTACCTACCACTTGTTAACTTTATGTGTAAGGGCGCGTGTACACGCTAGGAATTTGACATGTCTGCTACAGAAAATATGAGAATGGTCTTGTACACGACAAGAACTTTGTCGGATCTAGTCACGAAAATATGTCGTGTCTGTTGCAGACGAGAAAATGATGAGTATAACACGATACGAATGTTTTCGGACAGACGTGTGTAGGGTAAAATGTATCAGTGCATTACGAGCCTTCCAGGTAGCTGTCGTTTTACTACCGACTGTGGGAAGAAACATGTTGTTGGATATGTTGATTGCTAAGCGACACCCGTACACGTCCATAAACGTTCGTTTACTGACAATGCACCTCACCTCACTCCATACAATAGCGGCAAAGCGCGTCGTGTTTTAGGTAGACAAGATTTTTTTCTTGTCCGGCGCCGAGGCAGTTGTGTACACTGTTCGTGTGTCGAAAAGACACGAATTCTTGCATAGTCCCGGCGACTTTTCTTACCATATGGTCATGAGCCCTTAGGGTAACGGGCGCAGTGGCTTTCCGATTTAAAGCTTTGGCATAGCAACTGTTATGAACAGGCGTGTCGTTTACCACCAGCCCCACGACTCGTTCGTCCTGATATCATAAAAAATACCTACTTATTACATGGTGTTAAACTAAGGAAATACTATAAACAATATGAATGAATGAATGTATTATAGAAATATTCTTTATTGCACTTTCGAAATTACAATAACAACATAGAAAAGTAATTTAAGCATCACAGAGTAAGCTAATGTACGTACAATCGGGGGCTTTATTGCTAAGTAGTTATTTCTTCAAGGCAACTTTTAAGTAGCAGTAGAGCTCCTTGTGAAAGAGCCTGACCATGGAATTGCGTTCCGGTTTTTGAAGGGTAAGTAAGGGTGCTGGTGAAATTACAGGCACATGCGGCTTGTCAACTTATGTCTCAGGGTGAGACGGGCGCAGTGGCAGTGACCTCAGATCTTTGTGTTTTAAAGCTCTGCGTGGTACTGCAACTGTTATGAACAGGCGTGTCGCTTACCACGGGACGAGCGTACAACTTGCTCGTCCCATCAGTTGAATAAAAAAATATCTTGAGATAGAAATTTAAGACCTGGAAAGGGGGGCGCAACCAAAGAATATCTTCTAATGGAAGTGTTTTAAATAAATAGACAATAATAAAAAGATTTCTTAATGTGTAGTATATTTATTTATATTTTTATTAATGACCAGTAGCATCTTTAATACAATTTTAGCTAATGAACAAAGTAAGAAACTTCATGCGCACTCTTCATTGACTTACAAATAAATGGACGACGGGTCTAATACAAAAACCACGAAAAAAATGTCCCAAGTCAACCTATTTAAACGTAGTGACATGTAAAGGAATATGAAAAAGCTAAAACGTTGAATTTAAATTGTAATGTCATCGCAGTACTGTCTAATTTTGCTTGCTTCGCTGTCAGTCGAACAAACGAAGACTAAAGCGTGAATGACGCTCTGTATACGATTTTAACGCCCTATAAGTTCGGACACTTTTTGGCGCAGACCCGACGTCCATATAATTATAAT